ATCATTGGTATCTAAGTCTTCCGCTGTGCTATCTTATACCTTGTATTGAAAGGTCGGTTCTTGTTCTGGTCTGCACCTATACGGTATGCAACAGGGTCACATATATTAGATGCCGGACTTGATTTCCAGCAGGTGAAGCTGTCCACCGATGGAAAGGACCCGTCTCCACCAATGGAAAGCCCCCTGAGGATGACCGTGTGGCGGTGGACGAAACACGTTGGGGCAGCCATAACCCGCCGGTGCACTTGCGATTTACTGAATCGAATGCACTTTCGTGTACTATGTTTGACTCGCGTGTACATCTGAGCATTGCACTTGTCTACTTGCGGACGAGTTGCTCTGGTGTGATTCCTTGGTTGTCTTACCATCATCTGCACCACCTGAACCTGCAGTTGGATGTACGGTTCTTTTTTTTTTTTTTTTTTTTTTTTCGGGTGAATGTACGGTTCTGATCGTTTAGAAGATCTATTTGCCATATTTGCCTCTGTTTAGGAGATCCTAGCCGTTGTTGCTATCTGAGGATTGCCGTAGTCCAAGTTTTCAAGTTTTCACTCAATTTCTCCATCGTAAATTACAGTTCCACTGAGTTTCTGCAACATCATTTTATAAACTAAATTGGGTTCCTGTCAAAGAGAGGAATGTTTTTTTTTTTTTTTTTTTGTAAGGGTATTGTATTCTATCTTCTTATACACACTTGGTTGGCGGTGTTGCTTTGAATGTCAACGTTGTCTTCTTTGAAATGGACACATGTCAGCATATGGGAGAATCAGCTGATGTGTTCGTTACAGAGATGTCGAAAGCATTTCAAACCCTCTACAAATTATCGCGAAATGATGTTGTTGTACCCTTGAAGCCTCGAGAGGACTCCTCGGCGGTGACAAAGGCCGAACCACAGAATGGTGGTAGCTTTGCAAATCCGAACTGGCACGGCGATGGCAAGGCGGATGCTGAAGAGAAACAGAGACGTGGTGAGCTGAAGGAAATGGGAAGCGAGCTGGTGGCAGTCGAGGAAGTCGATGACAGGCTTGTCACTGTTGCAACCAGCCTTGTTTCAGTAAAAGGAAGTACAGGTGGCGGTTTCAGAGATGGGGGTAAAGGAAATGCTGGCGACGAGGAAGGAAATGATGCAGAAGCGAAGCCGACTAGTAGTTGGCATATAGGAAATGCTGGTTGCGAGGGGAGCAATGTAGTTGAGTCGGAGGTGGAGTTTGCCTCTTTTAGTGTCACGCCAGCGAAGGCGAAAGATCGTAACGGAGTTGTTACGCTGGATGATGATGTCCAGGCGGAGGTGAGTAGCACGACTAAGAAGAAAGGATTAGTGGGGAGACTTGCTCGGTACCCGTTGAAGGGATGGAAGGGGCGCAAAGGACATTCTGCGAGCTTCGATCGCGCTGCAAGCTTCGATTGTAATCTCACGGAGATGGTGGAGGTCTCTGCCAACTGCAAGTCGGGTAACAGCTGCGACTTGCGATCTGTCGACTTCGGTATCGAAGATGGCTCGCCCATTGCAAGGCGAGTCGGTGAGACCGCTTTTCGCCATAGCCCAGGGAAGGAAAATCAGTCAAAGCAGGGCGGCGAGAGCCCAGGAGCGGGCCGAGGAGGCGAGGAGGTGGAGAGAAGGATGATTGTCAGCGAGCAGACAAATGTGGTAATGCCTCTGTCGTACGATTTGGACTCGCATCTACAGAGCCAGCAGATGGTTCCCATGGAGTTTTTGGAAAGATCGCTGGCCGTGAAAGAGAGATCGATAGCACTCAAGTACGAGCTAATAAGAATGAAGAAGACGGAATTGATGCTGAAGAGTCAAGGCGGGGTGCGAAAGGAGAAGGCAAACACCTTGCAAGAGGAACAGATACTGTTAATGCGCAGCAAAATAACGGCGAGGGAGAGGGAGACGCGGGAGAAGAGGAAGCTTGATGCGGTGACAGCCTTGGCGCGGTCGTTTGCAGACGAACTTGTTGCCGGGCTCTGCATCATGTGTGTGGCGCTGTTGTACTGCGGGTGGCAGTATGGCCGCGACGCGCTGTCTCAGCAGATCGGCGCTTGTAATAATTTTCTTGAGGCAGTTCTTGCAGTCAATAAAAGGCAGTCGAGTTGGTGGTCAAGGATGGGAATTGGGTATTTGTTTGGTGGGGTGTTTGTGGGTTTTTACAAGGTACTATGTCAGTTAGCTGTTGCCTGCAGAATTCTGGTGGGCTTCCTGATTCTGTCAGTGTCGGCATGGTTGGTCCTGCGCCGTAATGTCATAGTTACGGCGCACGAGAGGCCCGTAACGTCGCTCTTTTTAACGCTCGGTGTGTTTTGTGGTTACGCGGGTAAGGTGGCGGTGGACAGTTCGGGGGGATCGGGCTGGCATTGGCTGATGATCTGGCAGGTTCTCTGTGTCATCCATATCTGTGCTAATTGCCACATTGGAAGAGTTTACAGGCTTTTGAATGGAAGGTGGCCCGATGAAGACGAACAAGCAAGGAAGACGGGCGACGGTCGTGATGAGCTGACGCTTCGAGCGGCTCTCTCGGTCCCCATCTGGTTACGCCATCTCACACTCCGCGTTTTCCTCTTAGGCGTCCTCCCGTTAGTCGCATCGTTCTTGGCATTTGTTCCAGCTGATCGGCTGACAAACGAGATTGGGAGAGCGGTTGGTTTGCAGAAAGCCTCAGCCGCTCTGCGGACTTATGTGATCGATTGGTCGGTGGATCGATCAATTTGATTAGATTGAGCCGATTTGATGGATTGATGGATGGATTTGTTGATTGATTGATTGATTGATTGATTGATTGGTTGGTTGGTTGATTGGTTGATTGGTTGATTGGTTGAGTGGTTGAGTGATGAGAAGGGATCAAATTTTGAACTTCAAACTTCAAGCTTCAAGCGTCAACAATAACTTGGCACTCTGGTGAGGCATGCTGGAATATATGTCTTGTTGTTTAACTGGATATATGGCGACCCATCTCCTTGTGCCATCTCCGCATTGACTTCTACAGCGGCTGATAAGCCTGACGGCGTCGGAGGGGGGACTGTTTGCCCCTCTTCTCCCGAGATCAATTCGAGGCTGTGAAGAGGGTGAAGGAGTGGCCGCACAACTCGGGAAAGAACTCTCGGCCTTTGTAACTTGTGCCATTTTGTGGTGTTTGGATGGTAGGCCATATTTCCTTGATGGAGAATCTTACAACGGTGGTCATCAGCAGATGCAACCGTGCAAGAAGCTCTGGACTCCTTGCCTTCGCTGCTGTTCAAGATGTTTGGACACTGGGGCGATTTTCCAAATCAAGGTAGAGGCGGGGGGGCCKGGGGKGGGGGGKGGGKGTTGGGGGGAGAGGAGGTTGTGATTGTGTCCGTGCTCCTCGCCTATGCACTTGCCAGATTGGATTACGACTGATAGCGTTGCCAACTCAGGATCGCAAATGATTCTTCGCCATCCAGATGGATTGCCAGGGTGATGAGAAATGAACTGCTCTCTCGCTGTCTTACGAGTTATTCAGGTCTTGGAGCCCTGCAGGCAAAAATTCGAAGAGCTGGTGATGAAATGGTCCAGGCCGGTTTAACGTTATGGGGCTATTCCAGCTAGCAAAATCAAGTGCTTCGCTTCCGTCTTCAAGTGTAAAGGGAGCTGCGGTTCTCACCATGCGAGTAGGAGAAGTGCTGCGAGTCCTGGTATGTTTGACTGTTTGGGTGATTTGTGCAGCTTTCATCGCATTGATGGAAGTCACGGTCGCATGTACGTTCAACACGACTTGTCGAGTTTTCATCGCATTGATTGATATCGTCCTCGCGAGACGGGAAAGAAGTGGCGGTTTGTACGATGCAGTGGAAGAGGGGCGGGGAGTCCTTGTACATTTAATTACATGCTGGACTTGTGGGCCTTTTTTTCATCTCACCGAGGGGTATCTTTTCTCCGCGCAAATAGGGGGACCGGTGTCTTCTGTCTATTGATGCTGGTTGGAGGTGGGGGAGGTAGGACGAGAGGTCGAACTTGGGGACAGGTGGTCATGATCCCTGAGTTGCAATAACTTTCTTTTTGCTTCCGCCATCCTCAGTCTGTTTTTTTTTATTTTTTATTTTTTTTATTAGCTGATAGAGTTTTACTAAATATATCCCATTGCTCTCGTTATCCTCTGCACTCGTTGCTTCTGAAGCTACACGCTGCAGGGGAGAAAACTTTCGGCAGCTCAGCAACTGGTTTCACATATTGCATGAGGTACAGGAGTCTCCACCCCTCCTCGTCTCCCTCATTGATGTCGTACTAACTTAACCGATGGCAGCAGTTTAGTGAAAGCTGCCAGATTTCTCCGCCAACACGCCAAACAGATCCCTATCGCTCTGGTGTGTTGTAGTTCCGCACCCACAGTTCCCCCACCCTCCCTTTCCTCTTTTCAACCTTTAGCAGATTCCAGACCCCCAGTTTGTCGTCAATACCTAGTTTCTGTGGCTTGCAGTCGTTCCGGATTGGCACTTTTTGGCCAAATGCATAGAATCTGTGCTTTGTGGTGGTTCCAAACCCATAGTTCATGGCCAGATACATGGAATTGTCCAAATGCGTCGAATCTGTGCTTTGTGGTGGTTCCAAATTCATAGTTTGTGGCCAGATACATACAAGTTTTGAAGCGATTTCCGGGCGATCTGTATTTTACTAGATGAGAGGTTCAGTCTGCAGATGGATGCCAACGGCAGGCGAGACTTTCTGTTTCCCTTCTGCCACCTTCACAGCCTGTGTTACTGTTGACATCAACAAGTTTTGACGCGATTTCTTTCATGTTGATGTCTTTGTCCTCTGCTGTCACGATGATTTGGAGCTACGTGCTGCGGAGGAAGAAATTGCTTGCAGTCCTGCTGCAAGTTCTTTTGGGTATTGCATGAGGGGTGAGAGTTTTTGCCTCCCCTCGGTTGATCTTGTGCGAGCGTCACCCCAGTGGTGGCCGTCTGTTGAAAAGCTGCCAGATGTATCTGATTGATGTGCCGAATAGTTTGCGGTCTTAGGCCACCGGTCTCGTGCAGATACGTAGTCTTTGAGCAAATTTTAGTGATTTGTATGTTTTTACAAATGTTTGACTGTTCGAGTATAATTTGCTGCCTGCCTTCTTCGTCAGCATTTCCACAACTGGAGCAATAACCGCTCCGATCTCCTCAATCTGGGTTGATGACTGCTTCTACTCTATATAGGCTTGGGAAACTGTTTATTACAGAGTTACCCGACCCTTCTCGTCATCCCTGTTTTTTTTTTTGTTTGTGCGTGTGTGTGTGTGTGTGTGTGTGTGTGTTG